CCATTGGATCATCCAGGAGCTAGCGAATGGCCGCCAAGGCGTCGTCAAACTGTGCAGCCACAGCGACAAGCTGATCATGCAGATCTGCCTGCTCCCCGTCTGGGAGCCGACCATGCGGAACAGCCTCATGATAAGTTTGCCCCACATGGTGCAGCTGGACATCGACAGCGCTATCATCGTGGACCACGGGCACAAGAACTCCAAAGGCGAGTCCCGCATCCGTCTTGTCGTGAAGCCCCTTCCGGTTTTCTTCGAGGGCTGCTCTGGTACGCCGCCGGCCATGCTTTCTGCGGTGGAGGAGGGTTCCAAACGCCAGACGCACGCCGAGTCCATCGGGCCAATCCTGGCGCACGAGAAGGGGGAGTCGTCCAGCGAGCAGCTGTCTGTTGCAGGTGGCGCGGCTGGTCCGGGCTCTGTGGCGATGGAGAGCAAACCCTGCGCAAAGGCAGAGACTGATGTTGATGTGGTGAGGCCCCAGCTGCACGGAAAGGCCACTGTTCCTCAGCAGCACAGCGAGAAACGCACATTCGCTCCAGGCATGGCCGCGCGCCTTGTTGGCCTCAAGGCTAGGCCGCTGCTAAATGGTCGCGAAGGCACCCTGAGCTTCTACGACGACGCTGCTGACCGCTGGGCTTTCAAGACTGGTGCGGAAGCCATTCGTGTCAAGGCAGCGTGTCTTGAGCCTATCGGCTCCCATACGAATAAGTCTCTCGGCATGGCGTTCCAAACGGCCGCCTTCGAGCATCAACGCTTGGACCCAGTTGCTAACGACCAGGCGTTCCAGCTGTTGTACGACCTTGCTGCTCGAGAAGGGCAGCCTGGGGTGGCCGCTTTCTTCCAGCCTTTATTCAGCGACAAGACAGCCTTCGACAAGGTGTACTGCCACGTGGCCGCCAGGAGTCCTGAGATCGCCTACCAGTGAGTGGCGCTTAGCTGCATTCTTGGTGTGCAAAGTGCATCCATGCTTGTGCCCTCGTACGCCATTCCTTGCGCCCCACGTCGCCCGCCGGGCTGCGCTTCTCGTCATGGCTGCTTGCGCCCCCATATATGTTTGGGTTGCGCTTCCCGTCAAGGGTTCTGGTTTCATGTGCTGCTCGATCCTTCGGGCGAGCGCAGCGTCGCCTGGTTCTTGCGGGCGGGATTCGGCTGCGTCTCTCTCGCGCACGCGTGGACACCACAGACGTTCGTTCCCTAGGGCTGTAGGAAGAAAAGAAGGTGGAGGAGAAGGAGAAGAAGGAGGAGGAGGAGGAGGAGGAGGAGGGGGGGGAAGGAGGGGGAGGAGCAAGCGGACGTGTGCACCTTTTCATCGGCGAGGACCGCTCTCAGATTCTACGCCGAGGGCGCCCGGCCCCGCCGCAGCGTGAGCCACATCTCGGGATCGGCGCTCTTTCCCCGTCGTTCAGCTTCTGCGCCCTCGCCCTGGCGCGGGCCGCCCCCCCCCCAGGAGGAGGAGGGGGAGGAAGAGGAGGAGGAGGATGAGGAGGGGGAGAAAGGGGAAGGAGGAGGAGGAGGAGGAGGAGGAGGGGAGGAGGAGGGAGAAGGAGGAGGAGGGGGAGGGGGAGGGGGAGGGGGGAGGGGGAGGGGGAGGAGGAGGAGGGAGGAGGAGGAGGAGGAGGAGGAGGAGGAGGAGGAGGAGGAGGAGGAGGAGGGGAGGAGGAGGAGGAGGGGAGGAGGAGGAGGAGGAGGAGGAGGAGGAGGAGGAGGGGAGGGGGAGGGGGAGGGGGGGGGAGGGGAAGGGGAGGGGGAGGGGGAGGAGGAGCAGGAGGAGGAGGAGGAGGGGGAGGTGGAGGAGGAGGAGGAGGAGGAGGAGGAGGAGGAGGAGGAGGAGGAGGAGGAGGAGGTTGTCGGGGACGGGCCTGAAGCCACATACCCAAGATCAGACAAAATCGGAAGCGTCCGAATCGGTCTCCTCCACGAGAGGGGCCTTGGGACGCGTTAAAGCCTCGCCACGGTCTCTGACCCAAGCGAGGTCGGCTTCCACGAGCCCGAACGAATCCAAAACCTGCTCCCTGCAGGCGTACCCGCCCTGGGAGTCGAATTTACTTGCATGGCTGTCCCGCGGGGCCCCAGGACCTCCCGACTTCAGCGCATCAGCCAGAGTCCGCCGCTCGACGGGGGAGAGGCCCACATGGGGCCCAAGGAGCAGCCCCTTCAGGTCATGCTTATACGAGGTGAACTTCGACTGACGAATTCTCCTCAACTGATCGCTGAGCCCTCCCGTGGGACCCGTCTTGGGTCTACAGGGGCCTTGCAATCCTTTCGAGGGGTTCCCCCCCGAGCAAAAGCTACCACACTTTACACAGAACTGAAGCCTCCCCGTGGCGTTCCCAACAGCATCCAAAATTTTTGCCCCAAGCAGGGCATGGCCGTTGACACGGAACACCAGGAGAGCAGACGATTCCCAATCCCCCAGGTCCTCCCCTTCCACCGTGGGCCGCCCATCCTCGGCCATGGTCTGGCTGGAGAGGTCGGCTTCAGCAGCGGCGGCAGCAGGCGCTGGGGACGGAGTGGCCACGGCTGAGGCCTCCAAGCCAGTCGTGTCCCTCCCTGGCAGAGACGAGATGGCCACCTCAAGTTGGGCCGCACACCTTCCAGCCTCCATGGCCAGGCTCCGAAAGCCACGCCACAAATACATATCATCATCCGTCCGCCCACGCAGATCGACGCCAGCCTTGGCGAAGGTGTCAGCATGCTGATTCGCACGCTGCTCTCACGCCGTGGTGACCCCAGACTGGACGTCAGAGGCCGTCGCATGGGCCTTCGTCTTAAAAGCCTCAAAGTCCCCTTGGCCAACCGCGGACCAGAACGGGCCCCAAAGGTGACCCCTCGGCGCCCCAGGACCCACGGAGTACCCAGGACCGTTGGCCAAGGAATCCAGGGTTGATTGACAGTCTATATACAACTGAAACGGGGGAAGACCAAATTGCGTCAGCATATATACAGCATAGTCCTCCCTATCCTTACTGGTCTGCTGGGGGGCGGTACTCACTGGTACAAGTCCATATACAGCCGGTATCATATTCCCAAACCGATCTACACTGCATATGGCCCACCCCGCTCTAGACATGCCCTCCAGGTTGGCCCACTTGGCGGACCCGTCGAGGAACAGGAGTCCTGAAAGCACACCTGACGAGGGACGGTTGTGCCACCGAATGCTCTCGTAAGCCTCTGGGAGCTCGAACAGGGCCTGAGGATCTGGAAATATCCCTCGAGCGAACCTCTCACTGAGGATGGGCAGGTCTTTTACTCGTGCTGCACATTGTTTCAGCCTGTGTCCTACGTGATCTCTGCGGAGAGGCTCGTGAGCAGGACACTCGTACTGACGGTGCCACAGCGTACCAGGTGCTCCTCGACAGAGCTGACAAAGGTGGTCTGGATGCAGCCCATGATTGCACAGCCTCGCCTGAGGCCAGTGAACACCTGAAATCAGACCTCGGAGACACCTCTGGTGATGCTTCGTCCAAGATGCACCCTTGCTTTTCGTCAGCTTCCGAATGCCACTCCAGAAGATGGGGACCAGCGGGGGCCCATTCGGGCCGTTCTGGGCGCTGAGGGCATGACGATCAGATTCCCGAGAAGCTCCTTGCCTGACCACACCTCGGATTTGCATCGGGGACAACTGCAACAGGTTATACTCGACTCCGAGGTCTGACACGATGTGGGTGCTGTCCTTAAAGTCCCAGCCTATGCCCCTGAGACCGAGCAGGGCCACATCCGAAGGTGATGCACAGCTGCGCCAAGGATGATCCATCTTAGACAACTTAAGCCGGCTACACTGCATCGTATTGGCCAGTACTTGCGCATTCGGGACCGCCTCCCAGATCGCCGTAGCCCACATAAAAATCACATGCCCCACATACACAATCAAAGGGTCTATCTTGGGCCCCAGGTCGTAGGTGTACATCCTGAGCCCCACAGAGGCCCCTCGCGGTAAGCGCTCCAAAGATGATACAGCTGAAACTCTGAGCCCGAGGAGGAGGAGGAGGAGGAGGAGGAGGCGGAGGAGGAGGAGGAGGAGGAGGAGGAGGAGGAGGAGGAGGAGGAGGAGGAGGGGGAGGGGGAGGAGGAGGAGGAGGAGGAGGAGGAGGAGGAGGAGGAGGAGGAGGAGGAGGAGGAGGAGGAGGAGGAGGTGGAGGAGGAGGAGGAGGAGGAGGAGGAGGAGGAGGAGGGGAGGAGGAGGAGGAGGGGGAGGGGGAGGAGGAGGAGGGAGGAGGAGGAGGAGGAGGAGGAGGAGGAGGAGGAGGAGGAGGAGGAGGAGGAGGAGGAGGAGGAGGAGGAGGAGGAGGAGGAGGAGGAGGAGGAGGAGGAGGAAGAGGAAGAAGAAAAGAAGAAGAAGAACAGGAGGAGGAGGAGAGGAGGAGGAGGAGGGAGAGGAGGAGGGGGAGGAGGAGGAGGAGGAGGAGGAGGAGGAGGAGGAGGAGGAGGAGGAGGAGGAGGAGGGGGGGAGGAGCAAGAGGACGTGTGCACTTTTTTCATCGGCGAGGACCATCGAGGAGCATCCTGGATCATCCTGCGAAAAAGCCACGCCCGAAACCGACAAAACGCACAGGGAATGGACGTTCGAGCGATGGCCAGCTCCATGTCCCTTCCTTCGTCTTCCCCCGGTTCTCCTGCTCCTCCTGCCCCTCCTGCTCCCGCTGCTCGCGAGGACCAAGGTCAGCCAGGTCACCCCAGCCAGACGATAGAGCAGAGTTCAGCGCATTGGGAGGGGATGGGCGGGAGGGTAGGATGCCAGATGTGGTGCAAACGCGCCCAGCTTGCCCGTCCAACCCAGCTCCCCCCCCCCCTTTTTCGAGCGCGGGGAGATGGGGAGGGGCAGGGGAACGACGAAGTGAGGGGAAGGGGAGGGGGAAAGGGAGGGGAAGGGGAGATGGGGAAGGGGAAGGGGAACGACGAAGTGAGAGATGGGGAGATGGGGAAGGGGAAGGGAGATGGGAAGGGGAAGGAGGAGGGCGATGAGGAGGGCGCTGTGTCCCCATCCGCCCCCCCCCCTTTGCCAGGGCTCTCACGGCGCGGGCCCACCACTCGCCACTGCCGCGGTCGCCCGCATGCCCTCCAGGCGGCCGGCCGCGAACGAGCGACGAGCGGATGCCGGAGAATACCAAGTCCATCAGCGGTTGTCCAGACGCACTTTCTTGGGGACCAGTGTGTGTGTGTGTGTCCAAATCCACCAGCGTTCGTTTCGAATGTCTCATGGACCAAGTGTCCACGTGCGCCTTATTTTCAGCCGCATCTTTTGGATCCCCCCTGGATGGGGGGAGCAAGGATAAGAGAATTGGCAAGCGGGGCGTGGACAGCAAGAGGAGCACGCAGCAGGAGCAGCAGGAGCGGGCGCAAGGGCAGGCGGCAGACGAGGAGAGGGAGACGAGGATGAGGAGGAGGGGGAGGGAGAAACGAGGAGCGGGAAGGAGCAGGGCAAGAAAGAATCTATACTTTCATCACCAACACCGTGCGTGCCACCATCACTACCGTCGTAATCGTTGTCATGGCCACCTTCGGCCCCGCTTTGTACATCGGCACCTCGCCACCTCCATGGACGCAACGATTATCTATGTCCTTTCCATTCCAGGTTTTCCACCCGTTTCCGTTTGTGCAGGCTCCGTGCACGGCATCGCATCACCAACCTTCTGCCCCCTCAGAGTATTTTGGCATGGGTTTGCGCTGGAAGGACCCCTGGAGCGAGCATCCAGGCACAGAGCAACATTGCCACATGGGCTGTCATGGACGTGCGGAGCGCATGCGTAGTGCAATCTGCAGTGCGGTTACGCATTGGACTTCTACAGTTCGAATTTTTGGACGCTTCGCAGATCATCAACAGACCATCCAGACACATGCGCATGAGAGTTGCTCGGATGAGTAGGTTGACGAAGGGTGGGAGGATGAGGAGGAGAGCGAGAAATGGCAGTATGAGGAAGATGGCCAGGAGGAGGCGGAGGAGGAGGAGGAGGAGGATGCGGAGGAGGATGAGGACAAGGTGGATGGTGGAGAAAGGGAATAGGAGGACCATCAGGACGAGAAAGAGGCCTTCGCGGATGTTGTTTTGTTGTTAGGGTCTCTTGGAGGGTTCTTGGGATTGTAAAGAGGTGCTTTCGAAGCCCCCTAGGTGTCCCCATAGGACTATCTTGGGGCCCTGTTGGGTGCTCTTGGGTCTCTGTGAGGGGGTCTTGTGGCCCTCCGTAGCCATTTTGGCTCAAGTCCGTAGCCATTGTGGCTCAGTGGACGCGAGTTTTGGCAAGGGGAGGAGCGGCCCCACCAGCATTCACCAGGCAGCTCTGGTACAGTACAGGGGATTGTCTCCAACGTTTGCGAACACGTGCCGTTGTGGATGGCTCCAAATGGTTTTCGCCGACCGCCGTGGAGAAAGGAGCCCCCAGCAGCTCCAGGCTACGGAGATTGGTGGAAGACCACGGTGTACCCGCCGCTTCCAGGAACAGCGCCACCGACGTGGAGGATCAACACCTGGCAAAAGCGCCCGCGGCCGCAGGTGGAGTGCCTCCAGTGTGGACGGTGGCTTTTCCAGGACAGGCTCAAGGCGAAGAACTGGACTTGCGCGTGCGGGGCAGCTTTCCCTGCCTGGCGGTCCAGGTCATCGGCGTCCTGGTGGCCGAGCTCGGAGGTGGAGAGGATGTAGCCCAGAAGGCGGTGGACCCCCCCGTTGCCAAGCTCAGGGGTCCTCGACCCGAGCCCAGGATACTGCCGCCAAGGCAGGCCACCCAGGTGGCCACAGCGCGCCTCCACCGAGGCCGCAGGGCGCTGGAGGCGACAAAAGGACAGTGGAAGCGAGCCAGGCAGGAGTCGGAGCGGCCCCAGGAGAAGCTCAGCTCGTGCACGGCCGAGACCATGGCAGCCGAAAAGGAGGAGATTGAGAGGGCCAGAGAGTTCCTGCCCGCAGGGGGGCCTGCTCAGCGAGGCGCGGTCCTGGACATCCAGGAGGTGCTCGACGGCAGGCTGGATCTGGAAGTCAGTCTGGGCATAGACCTGGAAGGACTCGGGCTGGTTCAGCAGGACCACGACATCCTGGAGAGGGCCAAGTCGGACCTCCAGGACCTGCTGCGCAAGGCAGTGCAGGACTCCGACGGACAGATCAACGCGCAGCTGCAGGAGCAAAAGGCCAAGGTGGCCGACATCCTGGAACGCGCCAGGAAGAAGCTCAAGGGCAATCAGGGCGAGCAGCACGCCCAGGAAGGCGCGCCAGCGGGCTCAGGAGCGGCGGCGGGTGCAGTTGGATCGGCAGACCCCGCCCCTGCAGCATGCCGAGGCGCGGCGAAGGGTGCTGGCCGTGGACAGGCAGCAGATCCCGCCCTCGCGCCACCGCCGCCGAGGCGACCGCCGACGGACAGCTACAACAAGCGCCCACCCGACTGCAGGACGAGGTCGGCAACATGGTGCGACCCATGCGCGAGGACCTGCGGGACGGTGCGAAGCGCGGGTTACCACATGCACTCGCTGTGCATGAGGAATCTCCCGGGGTCGGGGCACGCAGCCAAGTGCCTCCTCGCCGAGGGAAAGTACGACATCGCTATCTTCCCAGAGCTGCATGTGCTGGCAGATAAGTGTACGGAGGTGCTGTACAACTGGAGTATCCGAGGGTATCAGCCGGTGGTGGCACCTGCCTATCCGCTGAAGTCGACGGCCAAAACAGGTGGGATTTGTTTCGGGGTGAGGGAACGATTTCAGTTCCGAAGCTTTCGGCATCTGGCTAGTGACAAAGTGATGCAGATGGAGCTCAGACAGCTCCAGGAACCAGACACGACGATCTCGGGGATTGATTTCAGAGACTCTGTGGGTTGTCAGTTCAAGATTGGAGGCCAGGCTATTTCCATTTTCGGCACTTGCCTCGCCACAGATGTGGGCATTGCCGGCATGAGTGTTAATAAGCTCATACAGTTAGGCACTCAGCTGCAATCGTTGAAGACGCCTTGGATGGTGATTGGTGATTTCAACGCGACCCCGATTGAGCTGCAGGAATCAGGTTTGCCGTCGTTAGTGGACGGGTTAATCAGAGTACCAACTGGAGCCGCGTACACGTGCACAGCAGGCCAGAAGAGCAGGATGGACTACGCAGTACAATCTCGATCCATGACTAGGTTCGTAGTTTCGATGACAGCGGGTGACGAAGCATGTTTTGGAGCTGGCAAGTCGCATTTCGGCCGTCTCGCACAGCTTAAGCTGAAGTTGGAGCACGCCCAGAGATGGGTATTACAGATGCCGCAGGGGGTCCAGTATCCGCCGAGGCCCAAGAGGAATCCTGACCCAAACAGTAAGTGCTCCCGCCAAAAGTTGCTGCAACAGTTGTCAGAGGCCACTGAGGACCCAGTTGACCTCAAGAGGCCACGACTTCGAGCTAGAAGGCCGATTCGGTTCAAGATGCCACAACCGCTGCAAGACTCTGGATCTCCAGACTGGGGTTGGAGTCGGAGGAAGCCGAGGACCAGGTGGCTGAGGAAGAGACTGGAGATGACATGGAGGACCCTTTCGGCGAGGAGAGCGCCGAGGGCGCAGGGGGCGCGGCGATGGGTGCTGGTGGACCAGCAGACCCCGCTTCCCCTGGAGGCGCGGCGCAGGGTGCTGGCAGCCCAGCAGACCCTGCCCCCCCTGGAGGCGCGGCGCAGGGCGCTGTGCAGGCAGCAGACCCCGCCCCTCCTGGTGTCAAGGATGGCCAGCTGACTGGAGCCAGACACCGCCTCCTCGGCACCGCGCCAGACGCCCAGGACAGACTCTGGCACGTTTTCGGAGACCGGCTGGAGAGACGCGAGGCGCCGCAGTGCATTCTCGATTTCGAAGGCGTTCCAGCTGGACCCCAAGGCTGCTCTAGCAATGGGCAGGTCGTTCGAGGAGTGGGCGGTCAAGTTCGAGTCTTACTTCTGCGCAATGCACACAGGGGGGGGGGGGGGGGCCTGCGAGAGCTCCGCAAGAGACCTCGGGCCCAAGGGGCCCATTTTGTCACGTCTATGGGCCCAGCATCGCACCGGTGGGCCACTGTGGACTTTATCTTGTCGGATCCTGCGGGCCTGCTCAACAAAAGAGGGTCCAGCAAGGCCCGTGGATTAGGTGAGCGCCTGAGGGACATGTCAGTCTGTGTCCCAGCGTCCCCTTTGCTGCCTTTCTCGCCGCCTCTTAGGGCCCGGTGGTGTCGCAGTCTACGGGTTGCATGGGAGCTCACGGATGACCCCATTAGGGACCTCAGTAGGCAGGCCTTTTCCAACTCAGTCGGAGCCCAGAGATCTGTCTTACATGCGAGCCTTGGCAAGTTCCAAAAGGTGGTCATGCAACAGGACCAGCTGGGTGGAAACGGCTTGTATAACAGGCTAAAAGACAAATCTGCGTTTGTGGGGGAGATGAGGGCGCGGGGGGATGCTGCTCTAGATGCGCGCGCACGCGTGGAGGCCAGAGCCAAGGTCTGGAGCCCGAAGTGGAAGCGAGGCCCGACCACTTTCGGCGGAGTCTTCGCCTTGTGGGGGAAGGCCCAGGCGCGCGCCAAGCAGCTGGATCACAGAGAGATCACAGTAGAGCAGCTCTCGCGCCTCATCTCCGCTCTCCCAGACCGCGCGCCAGGGGTAGACCAGATGACCAAGAGGGACTTCGGATTTACTTTCGGAAGTCGAGAGCTTTGCTGCTGGCCGCGGCAAGTGCTGGTCATTCTAATCGCACTCCAAGTCATGGACTTGGAAGCGGATCGCGCGATTGGCCTGCTTGCCTGGCTTGTGCGCTCTTGGGGCCGCGTGATGAACGCGGACCGTGCTGAGCGGGCGCGAGAGACTGCCGACTCGTGGGGCACGGCGCCGGCAGGTTCATCAGGTCTGCAGGTAGCCCTTGTCCGTCTCTTTAGGGATGAGGAATCAGCGAACTCGAGCTTCCCAGATTTCCACAGTGGCAGCCTCTTGTGGGATGTAAAAGGATTCTACGATAGCCTTCGATGGGATCTCATTCTCGAGCGAGCTCTGGAGCTCGATTTTCCGCTGTGTTATCTTGCGTTAGAGTTGCAGATCCACATGGCCGTCAGATTCCTGAGGGCCGGTGGGGGGGGGGGGGGTAGTCACCGCCTGTGGACCCCGAGCT